AAAGTCACTTTTAAATGTGTTTATTTGTCCAGTTAAAGTCTGTAAAGTCTCACTGACATTAAAAATGTCTTTCTTAAGAGAGACCTGGCCAAGAGGGAAACTGCAGCAAGTCTAACAATAGTTCTGTAAAGATATTTTAATCCGCCAAAAAGAACCAGGGTGGTTATAATGTAGGTGAAATAACACAGTCATTGTAAAAAAGCAAAGGTCATTTCTTTATAACCCCTTTGTAAATCATGTTCACTATACTCTACTTACCAAGTAAACACATTACAGATAAAACCTCTGGGACCCCGCGACAGGTGAAACCATATGTTTATTTTATTATTTGTAAGCCATAAAAACCCTCGCCACACTCTTATAAACCCTAATATGTCCCTGTTATTAGTTTTTTAGACTATAAAATGCTTATTTTATCACAAAAATGATTACATTTTAAAAAGGTAAAAATACCCAGGCCTCCAGGCCACAGAAACCTGGGATATAAGGACATTTCTGCAGTAGCCTATAAATTTACAGATAAATTCATGATGTAGCGAGTCCACAAAAGGCAAATCTGTGTGATTTTTGTGTGTGGATCAACACTGGAGAGTAATCCAAGGTCTTGATTTGTCTTTGAGAGGTAGCTGCAAAGACATGAAGGCGTGATGCCAAAGATGAAGGAGCAACAAACTAAGACTTACTGAGACGTGAGAGGAAGGGCTAAAAACCTACTTTGTTACACACCATGTAGTATTGTCATAGTTGCTGGCTTTGGTCCCAGGCTTTCAGCTACGTTGGAGTTTGACTCGAAATTATCTTTCCTATTCACAAATGACGGGAGAGTGGAGCTGTAGACTGACGGATGGGTTGGTGAGGGGTCTGCAGGACTAAGTGGGTGAGCAGCTCAGAGCGGAGACACGACTCTTTCACATTAAAAGAAGCCAGTTGAGTTCAGTAGGACGCCTCCTGAGCATTGAAGCATTGATGGATGTGCTTTGATTTGTTGCATTTTTCCTGTTATAAACTGTCCTCTCTGTCTCTTCAGCTCATCATGGAAACAGTAATAAAGCCCATCTTTTCTGCTGCCACAAACATCTACAAGCTGGCTAAAAAGGTGAAGGCCAACAAAAAGCGCTGCCGGCGGATTTCGGTCCGAGTCAAAGCCCTCGAGCATGTGGTGAAGTCCATCACAGAGTTCTCTCCACAGGTAAAGAAAGCCCTCGAGGAGCTGAACCTAACTCTGGAGTCAACACAGAAGCTAATTGAAAAATACACTGTAGCCAACTTGGTGGAGCGCATCCTGAAATCGGGCAGCCACGGAGAAGAGTTTGATACGGTGAGCGAGCGGCTCAACGATGCTTACCAGGTCCTGTGTGTAGCTCTGCAATCAGAGCAGAGCAAGATGCTGCACGAGGTGTTTAGACAGAGAGAGAGAGAAGACGAAATGGACGGGAAGGAGGACGACACGGAGATGACCAAATGTGAGGAGAAACTGAATTTATCTTTAGAGACGTTCAAGCAGAGCTCTTTAGTGTTTTGATCCTTGTTCACCAAAGCTGATTCTGTTCCTCTCAGTGTTTCCACACTTGTCCTGTTAAAGCGTTTGGACCAGACTCAGAGTTTGTGTTTCTCTCTGTTCTTCAGTGCTGATGGACTTCATGAAAGAGCAGCAGGAGAAAACCAACACCATACTGACACAGCTGGACAAAGTGGTGCAGATGTGTGAGTACGACATCGCCGAGCGGCCCTGCGGAGAGTTGTGTCATAAACAAGTCTGTGACTTACTGACAAACATCTTGTGTTGAGAAAGTGGGATTTATAATTGGAGTCTTTCTCTTTTTTGTTCTCAGTGAATAAGCCCAGTTTCAGCAGCGTGGCTGTGCGACAGATTAAACCAGATGAACTGAAGTATCAACATCCCAAAAAGCCCTTCAAGACAACAGCGAGCTGCGAGCTCTACAAAGGAGAATATCAGGGATTCCCAGTGGCCATCAAGAGATACATCGACCCCATGAACACCAGTGCAGGGTCTGTGCCACAGTTCAGCCCATACTGGGAAGAAACACAGGAAAATAGTCCTTCCCATTAGAAAATAACACACACATTCACTTATATGCTGTTCCAGCTCAGGCTCCCAGTGCTCTCTGTGTGCTGCTGTATTCACTGCCATCAAACATTTTCTCCACATCCAGAGTGAAGTCTATTTTCAACAAGGAAGTCGACACCATGAAGCAGTTTGAGTCGCCCAACATCCTGCGAATGTTTGGGATCTGCATCCAGGATGAGAACGGTGAGCGTGTCAACACAGAGGTGCATCTTTGTTTGAACGAGCGCTTGTATTTGAGCCAAACCTGAAAAGTTAACTGCAGCGCATGAAAACGAGAGCGTCAGCCAACACAGGAAGTGCAGTTCATCACTTTACACGTAGATAAGGAGGGTTCAAAAAAGAAGGACAGATGGAAACAGAAACCCTAAAATGAAAACAGGAGCTGACAGACAATACTGACACATTTTATCAGCTTAGTCGTACCTGGCACAGAAGGACTTCATCGCTTGCTTGGTCACCAGTGATTTCTTGGCTTGAACTATATTATCTCCCCTGCTGGTACTGCAACTGAAGCATGCGTGTCCACGTCAGGGGGCGGAGCCTCACGGTGGACCAGAGTGTCTGTTACACGCTATCCCCACATATAAATACGTGGAAACATCACAGATAAATACACTCAGTGACAAACCTGTAATAAGTTGTCCTTGTGTCTGCCTGTAGGACCCAAGCCTCAGTTCTTCATCATCATGGAGTACTGTGAGAAAGGAAGTCTTCGCCAGGTCCTGGACTCTGACCTCACTCTGACCTGGATCAGGAAAGCTCACATGTGTTTGGATGCAGCACGAGGACTCTATCGGTCAGTGTGTCTGCTTTATTACAGATTCTAAGCTAAACTCCAAACAAGTTGGGACGTTGTGTAAAATGTAAATGAAGACAGAAAGCAACGATCTGCAGATCTCATCAGGGTCGGAGATATTTGATCTGCAATAGCACACAGAAAAAGTTGGAGGCTGGAACAGGAAGTGGTGCTATGAGGAAAAGATGGAGGAACATTTTGCACCTAATCGGGTTAATGAAGAGGCGAGGGACCATCCCGCTCGTTATCAGTGCTTCGTTCGAAGCCTGCGTCTCTGATGGGTTGGGGATCTTATCAACGAAACTGGCAGCTGGCACATCTTGAGAGGCTCCATCAATGCTGAAAGGTATATACAGGCTTTAGAGCAACAAATGCTCCGTCCAGGGAAGGCCTTTCTGTTTCTGCAGGATGATGCTGAACCACAGACTGCATCCGCTCCAACAGCACGGCTTCTCAGTAGACGAGTGCAGGTGGCGAAGCGGCCTACCAGTTGAGAACATCTGGAGCGTCGTGAAACCAAACACAGAACGAAGGAGACCCGGGAGTGTTCCTCTCCCAGAAGTACGGCAGCTTCTGTCCTCAGTTCACACAAAGTTACAGGCTGTTGTTAAAAGAAGAGGAACTCTACACAGCGGGAAACATGGCCCGACTTTTAGGAGATATGTTCCCGCCCTCAAGTTCAAAATGAGCCAATACTTTTTCTTTGCATTGTAAAGTTTCTCCGCTGAAACCTTTGATGTTTTCTGAGTTCTGTGAGTAAAGTCTGAGTTTATGAGGTCTGCAAATCACTGCATCTTCTTTAGAGTTGGGCAGCTTCACAGTGACCGTGTCGTTCATAGATTCATGTTGGTGATGATAAGTTTACCTGTCGTATCTTAGACTGCACAACACAGAGGAGAAATCGAGGGTTCACGGGTCCATCGACAGCAGCAAGCTCCTGGTGACTAAAGACTACACCGTCAAGGTACTGAAGGCAATGCATGCTGGGATTCCTTGCAGCTGAACATATTTGCTTCATATGACGGTTTGGTTGTTGTTTCCAGCTGGGAGGTTTCAGGCTGTCGAAAACAGAGACGTCTCTGAGAAGGCAGACGGAGGACAGAGCCATGAGGTCGCTGTGCTACCACTGTCCCGAGAAGCTCCACGACATCAGCTTCATCTACTGCAAAGAGTGGGAGATGTACAGGTGAGACCCCACGGCTGTCGGTCCACAGAGCTGTGCTCAAAGGCCCTCA